CTGGCCCGGCCCGGCCTGGCGGCCGTGGGCCCCGGGGAAGGCCGGTCCCGGGGCGGCCTGCGCGGTTTAGCAGCACGTTAAACACACCATGCGCCACTGCCTTATCTTAGTTAAGAGAAGAGCAGATTTTTAGAAAACAGGTGCATGTGATTTACAGGGAAATGGCAGAGTTGTGGTGAGCGTGGTGTGGCAGAGTGCTGTCCCCTGGGCCACCGCCGCTCGCAGGCCTGGGAGGGTGTTGGTGCAAGCTGGCAGGGGGCAGAGATGCAACCCCCAAGTCATGTAGCTTTTGGAGAGGCGTGTGGAAAATAAGCACCCTGCCGAGAAGTGTTGGGAGCTAACGAGGGTGCATTTTACCCCTTTCCCAGGTCTTCGTGTTCGATGTGGGGAAGGAAGCCTGGAAATCTTACGACTGGTCAAAAATTACAACTGTGGCAGCTTTTGGAAAGTATGATCCTGAGCTCATGTGCTATGCTCACTCTAAAGGCTCCAGGATAGTACTGAAAGGTTGGTTACATTGTGAAAATGTGGATGTTTATGTGATACATGAGTAAGAACATAATGCACGTAGGGCTGTAATACCTTGGCATTTCACATTTACTTCTATGCAAAGTATTAAAAACCAGTAAGAGGATTAATTAATAAGGGGATAATGCACACAGGACTATAATACCTTCACGTTTTGTTCATGCTGGTATGCAGGGTATTAAAAAGAAAACCATCGGTAGCTTCTGCCACAGTAATACCAAAACCATTCCTGTGACATGTAATTAAAAGGTCTCTAACAGGGAACATCACGACTACAGTGAAGCAGGGAGGCAGGGAAGAAAGGAAAAGCCTTGAGAAGATACCTATTTGGGTCTGTGTTCTGGATGTTATGCGCAGAACCCAAAAGACACAGGGTAAAGGAAGGGACTGCAAGTAATTTTTAGTATTTTTCACTTAAATGAATCCCTCTATTAGGAAGTGGTTGAGTTTTAAAACATGACTACTTGGGAACTCTGTGTAGGTACAAATGCTGATTAGAAAGACAAAGTCCATCTTGTCAATCTGTGCTTACATGCCGTAATCAAGTTTTGGCTCTATTGAGACAAAAACGTCATCCAAGACCACAATGTGCAAAACAACAAAGGTTAAACATAAAAGTATGTTATTGCAACCATAAGACACAGTCCTTCTGGCTCCCTGGAAATCCTGAAAGTAAATTGACTTGAAGAAAGGAAGTTTACAGTTGCTAAAAAATACTAAGCAAAGAGATTTAAATGATAGGAAAAAAATCCAAAAGCAACTTAATTTTAAACACTGCTGTCTCAAAGAAGCTTGGTAAGCTCTTCTGGGGTGGATTCTCAAAATTACGCTTGGGGGAAAAGGTATTTTACCAGTGTGGGTGTAGGGAGTTTTTATTTTATGGTTATGTTAGTTGGTTTAGTAGAGCCAAACCTTTCCTACTTACCATTACTGTGGTGCAAATACATGTTAACTCTTGAAGGCTTCTTGTCTAGGTGATGTACCTCTAAAGGAAATTGTTGATCCTGCTAAAAGAGCAGCATGGATATCCCAACAAGTGGACCTTGCAAAAAAACAGTATATGGATGGAATTAATATAGATATAGAGCAAGAAGTTAATGACACCTCCCCTGAGTATTATGCATTAACAGATCTTGTTAAAGAAACTACAGATGCTTTTCACAGAGAAATTCCAGGATCACAGGTAATAATAATGTTCTTTATACAAACATTAAGTTTAACTTTATGACATGCAAGTAGTTTTAAGAATGCTGTTTAGCATGTGAATATGAAAAAAATTATGCAGATCTAAAGCAGGATAGTCTCATGAATGGTTAATTATGAATGTTAACTATGATACACTATCGTAAGAATCACTCTTTTTGACCTGTATGAGTTTAAATGGAAGAATGGTTTCACTGAGATTTGTAGATGCAATGTTATTGCTGTGTGTGAGCTGGCAGTTATTAGTATGGCTTAATGAATCTTTGAAAGTAGGGCAAATACAGGCTTCTGGCGCAAAAGCTTGACAATGTTTTGGTAAACCCATCACTAAAGTCTTATGGATTTGCAACATACTTCATATTTCTGATCAGATGGTTTTCATGTTGTCTTTTAATTTCTGTGGTGTTTTGAATTCACTAGTAGGGGCGCTCACTGTTTATTATCTAAACTTTATCAGCTGAGCAGCATCTCCTGTAGTTCATTAGTATTACCGTGTGTTAAACACTGTGCAGTATTTGGGAAATGCTGTCTTTAGAAGTTACAGCTTTTTTTTTTTTTTTCTAAGACAAAACCGGAGTGCCTAAGTGCCATACACAACACTAACTTGTGCATTTTTCTGTCAGGTAACATTTGATGTGGCTTGGTCTCCAGCATGCATAGATAAAAGGTGCTATAACTACACTGGAATTGCCGATGCCTGTGACTTCTTATTCGTGATGTCATATGACGAACAGAGCCAGATCTGGACGGACTGTATTGCAAAAGCCAATGCTCCTTACCTGCAGACTTTAGTTGGTGAGGACAGGACGCCTCCCCAGGAGTCAGAACATTTCCATTTGTTCACAGGAATAGATAGAAAAGATTGCTATTTCTTAGTCAAGTTTTTTAGTTGCATTAAGGCTTTCGAGTGTGCTCAAATATGTGTTGTCGTAATGTGAAAATAGTATCTCAGATCCTTGTGACACTACAGATAGACCTTTAGCAGTTGTGTGTTGTTACTTGTAAAGTAATTGTGTAGCCCTCACGATTGTGAAGGACGCTTTTAGAATGACACACGGCAGCCAAAGCAATGGTGTCTGCCTGGGCTTGCAAAGAACCTGAAACATTTGTGCGTCATCCTCGTGAACTGCTGTACAGGCAGCAGGTTTGAAGTGTAGGAATATGCAGGTGGGAAATAAAGAGGAGCTTGCACCTTAGCCTCTGTCTGGGGGATCATGCAAGTCCTATATTTGCTCTGGCTCTAAAAAGCATGGGAAAATGCAGTAATGCATCTTAATTTTTATTTCTTTCAAAAATAGGATATGAAGAGTACATAACTATGGGCATCGATCCTAAGAAACTTGTGATGGGCGTCCCCTGGTATGGCTATGACTATGTCTGCCAAAACCTATCTAAGGTAAGATGAAGATTATTCATTTGCAATTATACTGTTATTTTTTTTTCCTTGGAAAGAGGCAGCTAGATTTTGGTGATCCTGTTCTTGGATTAGGAAATACTGTGGTCTGATGGATAAGAGCATAAAGCTGGGACTCAAGACAGAGACTTTTGCTTGGCTGATAACTGATGAGCCGTGTGTTACCAAACAAGGTGTTTTATCTCTCCGTAGGCAACCTGAACCCCATGATACCCAAGCACCATGTTTGACCAAGGAGCTATAGATGTTATCTGTACAACAAGAGATGATGTCCAAAACCACCACAACACTTGTATCTGCCGTCTTAACACAGTCACTAAGCTCACTGTTTAAAGACTAGGTGCAACAAACCATAGCAAACCTATGACTCTTAAAGTATAGAAGTTTATGCATAAATCACAGGTTCAAACAATATTATACTTATGAAAAATGGAAGAGTGAATTAAACGTGGAAAAGATAAGGCAACTGTGTAAGTTGAGTGATGTTCATCCAATCCTGTATTGCTAGAGAGTAAACAAAATTTAACTGTTTACTTCTGTCTACAGATAGTATGTCTGCCACAGATACTTGAAGATTTGGGATTTTTAAGACCTCAATGTCTTTTGTGTCTTTGTTCTTGGCTGTACTGTTGTTGTGGAGTTCAGTAAATCTATGTAACATAGAACTCGTGCCTTTGCTTTTTTTTTTTTTTTTCAGGATCATGTTTGTTCCCTTTCCAAAGTACCTTTCCGTGGGGCTCCTTGCAGTGATGCTGCAGGGCGTCAGGTCCCCTACAGAGCAATAATGAAGCAGGTGAACAGTTCTCTTTCAGGCGTGCTCTGGGATGAAGTACAGAAATCTCCATTTTATGAATACAAGGTAAGTGTCTCTTTATAAGACACCATGTTGTGGAGTAAACATTCGTGAACCATAGTTCTTTGATTATAAAGTTTTCAGGGTTACATTCTTCGATTTGTGTTTCCTACTTCTATTTTTTTGCGTAGTAAAGGATGGCTGGATTGCCATACCTTGAATTTCTAGTCTGAAAGAGGGGTGCAGTGACTGAAGGCTACAGCAGTAATAAAGGACTTTATTACTTTGCAATTTTCTTGAGAGACTGCACCATGTCAAAAAGGATGTTTTGGCACAGACAAATTCTATAACTCCATCCTTCACTGTTACAGTTAATTATATGAGTTGGTGACTGATTTAAACCAAAACAGATTCTGAGATGTTCTTAAGTTTTTCTAACCCAGTGACTTGTATGCATGTTCTCTTCTGCATTTGGTTTCTACATAGACATAGTGAAAGAGTCCATGAATGATTGTGCTTGCATCAACAGCACAGTGTATGCATTTCATCTTGTTTCTTTAGATGTAATTTTAGGTTTCACACATGTATGCATTTCATCTTGTTTCTTTAGAACAAGTTTAGTTCTTTCTTGTTACACATGTAGATGAAAAGGGGCTGTAAGCAATGACCAGGTCAAAGAAACATAACTTTGAAAAAAATTTTATAACCTCTTCTAAAACTGTTTATTGCTGAAAAAAAAAAGCACTTAATCTCAAACTAAATTCACCTGTTAGGTTAGATAGTGTATCTGAGATTTTAGCTGTATTTTAAAAGATTATTAAAATACAAATTAGCTAAATCTTTTCATCTAACTCAGTTAAAATGCATCACTGTTTTATAACTTAGATTCTACAAGTAAAAAAATAGCCAAGTATTTGGCTTAATTTTTAATTGTCCTGTGTGAAAAATAATTTGTAAATCAGCAAAATATCACTATGTAAATCTACATAGCTTGTATATCTGAGTTTTTAATTGTACTTTTCATTTCATTCAACAGAAAATGTAATCAAAACTCAATGTACTTTAATGTATCATGTTTATATAGATAGGCAGATACTCCTACTAGTGTTTAAACCTTTTTCTAGGATTCTCTTGGTCACTTCCACCAAGTATGGTATGATGACCCTCGCAGCATCTCTCTAAAAGCAGCATATGTGAAGAATCGAGGTTTAAGGGGCATTGGCATGTGGAATGGAAATAGTCTTGATTATTCCAGGGAAGCTGTAGCAGAACAACAAACTGAAGCAATGTGGCAAGCCCTAACACCGTAAGAATTATCTGAACCGTTGATTTAGGATGAAAATTGTTAATTTTTTATTATGGCTTATACTATAATAGACTTTGACTTTATATAAATCTATCATGATTACAAAAACTTTGAGAACTAACCAAATTCATCTTGTTATTTTGTATGCAAAGCCATATTTTCATTCCTCAAAATTTTCAATGTTGCTTTAGCAGTGGGGTTTTTTTTAAAGACTGCTAATCTTTTTCACTTTTCACAACTACTGTAAGTTGCTTAAAGCTTGAACCCATTGTGTTATCTGGTAAGAAGTAAGACCAAGCGGTGGATTTACAGGGACAGCCTAATGCTGAATCTTTGCTAAGGCTGCCTGGTGCAGCAGGTATTCATTCTGGGGTTGCATGGTGCAGTCTCAGCTTTCTGATTTCCCACCCCAGCCTATATTTTAGCTAAGTCACTCTTGAATCAGATTAAATACAGAATACTGGAGAGAGCAATTGCCACGTACATGCAGCTTGGTGAAGCTTGTGCTTGTACTTAGTTACTCTTCTAGGGATTAAAACATTTTATAGACTGAAGAAATTACGTAACACGAAGTAGCTGACATTAAGACTTTTATCAGACTTGTTGTTAAAAAGGAATATTCAATAAACTCCAGTTTCACCATGTTTATGTATTACATAAATTCTTTAGTTTCAAAAGCCAAAAATATTGGACCTTATCTTGAAGAGGTAACATTAATATGGAGAGGACTTGGATGATGTTTTCTTCCATTTCAAGCTTCCTTACATCCTGAAAACTAGAACTCAGAAGCTTATTTAATGAACTGCATACATATTTTTCCACACACTTGAAGATTCACTCAGTAGCCTGTTGTTTGTTTTTATGTGGCGTTGCCTCTGAGATAATATGAGGTTGTATTTTCTTTCTAGTTCATATTTTTCATAAAATAATTTGCCTAGAGAAATTGTGTAACTTTTTTAAACATCTGTAGTGATGGAAAGATTGACTGTTGTTTACAGGATTTATTTTGTTAAATAAAATGCTGTCTTCACTAAGGTTGGTAAACAGTGTTGTCTGTTTATGCTTTACTTGTTCCACAGCTTACAGCCCACACTGTTTCTCAGAACTGTTTCACAACCAGATTAAAGTGCAACTGTGCCCTGCTTAAGTGACTCCATTAATTAAACAATTTATTAAATTAGATGTATGTAGTCAGTTTTGAGGGTTCGTTTGGTTGGTTGGTTGGTTTGGTTTTTTTCCCTTGCTAAATAGTTACTGGGAAAACACCATAGAATAGCACCACCTCCATAATGGCTACTGAGGAGAAGATCAGAAGCCTTCATATGGGTGTCTGACTGCTTGATGCTACAGGTGATGGAAAGCAGAAGGTGAAGCCTACTGCTCCCACAGAAAGAAAAAAATTCCCCTGGAAAATCAGAGGGCTCTTCACTAAAGCTCTGGTCTGTACGTTTTAGGAGAAACTGATAAATTTATTTCGCATATAGATCCTGCAGAATTTCTATTAATATTTCTATTCATATGCTAAAATACCGAGGGAGAGATATTTGTGAAATTGAGAGGTCTTCTGGAGTGGATGACCTACAAAATCCTAACTGAAGGCCAGATGACTTTATAATAAAACTCTCTTTCCTCTAGGAGTCAAGAATCATGAGTTGATTTTTTTTTTTTTTTAATGTAGATTCAGGTTTTCCAGTAGCTAGTTGCCTGCTCTTGTGTCTTAAATAAGACACAATTCTGAAATACAGGATGTAGGATTCAATCCTAAATTGAGCAAAAGTGGTTGTAGTTTTAATAATTAATTTAATACTTTAGCACTAAAATCTTTGTTAAATCCTATCTTTAAGAAAATAAATTGGATAATGGGTGGTTTGACTCAAGGCATTTGGAAGTTAGTCCATTTGAGAGTTGCATAATTTTCTTATTGTATTACTGATTTCTCGTGAGCTTCCAGTAATTATTACTTCCAGTAATAAATACAGCCTTGTCAGCTTTTTAGATAACATTAATTCCTACCATGTTAATGTCCTGCTTAATGTAATAACATCTAGTACTGCAAAGAGGCAAACAGGAGAGCTAGAAAAAATTACTGTCAAGAGGAGGTTTCTGATTACTCTTTCAGAGCATTGTTATCTAAGCACATGCATGAGCTTGAACTTAAACAGAGTATGCAATACCGTAAGTTGGACCAGGATCATCCTTACAGCTTGTCCAAAACAAGGTTTGCCTCTTCCACTAACTACAGAAGGTAGTTAATGTTCATGTGGTTTTCCTAATAAGAGAGGGAACAAAACTGACTAGATGTGAAGTAAGGTGAGATAATCTAAGATTTTGTTCATACTTCATAATAATATGGTAATAATACACTGGTAATTTATAGATAGGCATAGTTATAGTGACAAAAATATACTTCAGTAAAGAGCTAAATAAAGGATTACTATTGCTGTAGTTCAACAGAAGATGTATTTTAATCATTTTCCAAAAATGTAATGCCTGTGCCTAAAAATAAGAACAGGATGTTACAGATTATAGGTTTATTTGCTTAGTAGGTATTTTGTTAATGAACGAACATCAGCATACTAATGTTATGTTACACAATTCACTAATTTGCACTTTTAAATAACTTGGCTTTGTTTTAAACACATTACTAGGTTAAACTATATGTTTAAGTAGCTGACTAATCATAGTAAGAGTGAGATTTAAAAGAAGTAAGCTGCAGTACCTCAGTAGCCTGGTATACGAATTCCACAACATTTATACAGTTGATGTCTTTTTACAAGATAACTTCAAGAACATACAAACAAATGCTCTGAAACTCTGAGCTTCTATATACATTACAGAGCTTCTGTAGACTTTACAGATGTTACAGTCATGTCATCCTCTTAAATTTCTGATTTTCTGGACTGGAGAATTAAAGCTGAATGAATCTTCTTCTGTATCAGTTCCGCTCTCAAGGCTCGTAAATCAGATGCTGCCTGCTTTCTCATCTGCAGAAGAACCAGTAATTTAAGCAACTGCAATTTAAGGAAGTTTTTGGAGTTGACATGCATATGGGTTTATATGACCAAGATTGAATTTTATACAAGATGGCTGAATACAGAATAGATCTTTCATCTTTAAAATTTTAGATGTCTAATTATATAGCCTAGTTCTAGCACTGCTTTCTTCTGTACTTTGCCTTGGTGTTTTTTAAGAGACAACTGTCAAATTCATTGTTCTTTCCACTCCTTGTTATACAATGGAGAAGGCATGATGAGTACATCCATCCTAGATGTTTTGGGTTTGTGGGGCAAGGTTTTGGTAGTCGGAGGCTACTGGGGCGGCTTCTGTAAGAAGGTGCTAGAAGCTTCCCCCGTGTCCGATAGAGCCAATGCCAGCCAGCTCCAAGATGGACCAGTTGCTGGCCAAGGCCAAGCCCCTCACCAATGGTGGTAGCGGCTCTGGGATAACATATTTAAGAAGGGGAAAAAAGTTACTGTGCAATACAGCAACTGCATCTGGAGAGAGGAGTGAGAATATGTGAGAGAAACAAAGTCAGTGAAGAAGAAGGGGGAGGAGGTGCTCCAGGCGCCGGAGCAGAGAGTCCCCTGCAGCCGTGGTGAAGACCATGGTGAGGCAGGTTGTTCCCCTGCAGCCCATGGACGTCCACAGTGGAGCAGATATCCACCTGCAGCCCATGGAGCACCCCGTGCCAGAGCAGGTGGATGCCCATACATATAAAATCATCTAATAATAACCTGGTGTTCTGGGGTAATTTGGCTCACGTGATAAAGTTACAATGACAACTAACACCATAAAACTAACAGTATAAAACAATAACTGGTTAACAAATATTTACATCATCTAATGTTTGGGAAATCTAAGGTTTTTTTATACATAGTATCATTTCGACTGTTTTAATTAAAAGGCAGAGTACCTTAATTTCTATTACGAGTTTCATTTTTGTATCATCCAGCTTCCGCCTCAGTTGATCAAGTTCATGCTGCACTGTAGTAATCCGGATGATTGTGTAATTCTGTATGAAACAATAACAATACCACCAAAACTTCACATGCAGCATTAGTGCATCTCTTCATTCTGAGTGTTACTTCACCACTCAGAAACAATCCTCTAAACTCTTTCCAAATCCCCTGCTTTCTTCCAGACCTTAATACATGTTGGGCAGCCTGCTCTCCAAGAGCTACTCTGACAGCCCTTCAGCTGGGTGCGGAGGTTCTTCCACTCCCTATTGCTTTGGGAAGTTAAGATCCAGATCAGATCTCCTGCGTAACAGCACACTGTTTTGCAATTATCTTTTATGGCTACTCCCCATTTATAATACAAAGCCATACTTCAAATCGTGTGCTTTTTCTCTCACAGTCTTAGCATCGCTCTGTCACAGTACATTTATTGATGAGATTGCTACACTCATGTAATGTTTAGTGCAGATAAACCCCTGGTTATACAGCACGTCATTTCAGCAGTAGCTGGGGGTGGGCCTATCTTTGAATTAACCTATAAAACTAAAATTAATGTTTTCGAAATGCAGGTTCTGATACCGAGCTCGTATAAGTCAGCTGTAGTCCCTTGAAGTCAGTAACGCTAAGGGATGGGAGTGTGCACATGGTAATCTCTTGATGTTCCAAGCCTTTCAAAATGCTAATAAACTGCCATAAATGATGCGATAAAGTTGCCCTTACAAGGAGTCATTATGTGATATCTGCAGCCGCTCATCTCTGAGCTCCTGCCTTAAGCTTCTCCCCGCCCAGGGGCGCAGCTGCCTGCACACAAGGGTCCAAGTCCCAGCTCCGACACTGCACAGCTGTGTAACCCCGCTCAGACCACTGAGAAAGCAGGAAAGATACACAGTCATGCAGGGAAAAAAACAGGCAGGGCTGTCAGACTAGTTGGGGGGCTACTGAGGAATCATCGTGTTGTTGGGTTGAGTCACCAGTGCGGACAAAGCTGATGGAAGAGGGGAAACCAGTGACAGCAGGATCTGTTTGCCAGAGCCTGACCCTTCCCGCCTGACCGCTGCCTGCCTGGCCAGCCGAGGCGCCTCACGTAGCACACAGCTTCCGAGGGGTGGAGAGCACACTCGTCCTTAGCCTAATAGCTCATTAAATCCTGGCTGTCTTCTCTGTGTCCTGGCCAACAAACAACTGCTGTATGCATGTGAAGTTGTGCATATCCTTCACATAAGGCCTCTTTGTGCCTAGCTGGAAAGACTGAAAAAAAAATGGTATTGCCTCCAAAAGGAGCAATAACATATCTGAACACAGCTAGTAATTTAAAGCAATATGAACCATATTAATATTTTTACATTGTAGATATTTATATTGAGATAGCTCAAATAATACACATTTGTATACAATATACACTTTTGGATTGTATATACACCCTCCCACCTTTCAGATACAAGAAAGGGACTTTTTTTTCCCCTAGTCTAGCTTCAGATTAGCCAACAGACTTGCTTCCACTAATGCATTTAGAAAATTAGAGATACAACTATTGGGAATGGTGTTTCCTCCTTTTATTTTACCTTTTCTTTTTTTCATTCCTCTCTGAACTTCCCATGATTTGACACCAACAACATAACATGAGACTCGCAGTTGTACAATAGTTCAGGCACAACCATTCTAACAACCTCAGAGATGTTTCTTGTCCTCCAAACACAATTATAATTCATTACCTCTGTACATGAAATTTGGGATGCTGAGAACAATATATAGTTGAACAATTCATTAATCATACTGAACAAAAGGGGATTTTGTTATGAGAAGGTATTGTACAACCACAAAGGTGAAAGAATCAAATTCTCAGCCTCAAGCACTTCTTCAGTCTTTTTGAGAAGAACGGGCTGAAGTAATTCTATACCTCAGATCATTGAGGGATATTTGGCTGTTAAAGCTAGTTTACAAGTCATTGGTTGGTGATGAATTTGTTACTTTAATTTATATTTTATAAAAAAAAAAACAGGCTGTGTAAAGAGAGAGATTAAATAATACAAGCAAATACCTTGGAGTTTGTCATATTGTTTGGTCGTTTTCGGCTATCTCTGGCTTCCAATTGCAAGAGTAATTTCTGGTGGTAAAGCTCTAAATCTTGTCGCAGTTTGTTCAAAGCGTCCTCCAGTGAAACTGTAGCTTTCTTAGTTTCAAAGTACTTCTTTTTCCATTCCTCACGAGCTACACAGGAAAACAGTAATACTGTTTGGTCTTATTCATCTTATCATAAGGTCTATTGAAGACAGTAATGACCAGCTGATCTCACAAGATTCAGTTGGCCAATACATGCATTAAAACATGGCAGTAGGTTTCTTTAAAAAAAGCAATTAGTGAAAATCTTCATTAAAATTATATTCACTATAAATGCAACTGAATTTTCATAGAATCATAGAGTAGTTTGGGTTGGAAAGGACCTTTAAAGACCATGTAGTCCAACCTCCTCTGCAATGAGCAGGGATATCTTCAACTAGATCAGGTTGCTCCCATCCGACCTGACCTTGAATGGTTCCAGGACTATATGGAATGGAAAGTGACTGTCAGCATGGCAATCTCAGGAGGATATTAAATACAGACTGGACCACTGTTCCTACAGAATGTGCTCTTCCCTTCATACCGTATGAAGAAACATACTTGAAATGCACTTACTTACCGAACTCTACAAGTCTGATAAAAATAATTCAGAGGCAGAGATGCTTCTTAAAGAACCTGCAGAAGCTGTTTGAATCCTTGTGAAACAACCTGCATTTTACCTAACTGGAAAACATAATTTCAGACAATGCAGGAGTCATTTAGGGCTTATCTCAGCAGGGTAAATTAGTTTGCCTTGCAGCTCCACGCTACTACGGATTCACTACTTCAAATACCCAAGTTTGGGTTTTTTATATACAACTTCACCATGCTGCAGAGTGCAGCGTAGCCATGCCCTTGGAGAATAACTGGAAGAATTGGTTTGCCTTCTCCTTTCGACAGAGCTACTAAAAATAGTTAAGACTCCTAGCGATTTAGGTGTATTTAAGTACAAAGAGAACGCTCTCAGAACATCAAAGTGACTAAACCTCATGTCTGTATAACCGGAATGTGACTTAGGGAGGATAGATTAAGTATAAACTTGAAAATAATTTTACAAAGAAAATTTGGGTGGGATTTCAATGAGAATTTTACCTTGTCAAAACCCAAGGTTTGTTAAGCTTGTCACAGCAGGTTTGTAACCTCCATGCCATAAGCTGAATACCATTAGATAGGAGGAAGATGATAGGAGGAATTTTATGATTCTGTCAAGAAAAAGTATTACGCTGGCAATTTGACTAGAAGCCCTATCAACACAGTAAAATCCTCTTTAGGACCAGCTAAAGGCAGGTTTAGAATATGTCAGCTGTCCTGGGCCTCAAACAGTGGAGCGGCGTGCAGTAGCTTTCTGGGCACTATATGTACATGGAACATGACTTGAATGATTTATAAAAGGCGGGATGTTTTTAGATTTATAAGATTGCCACAAAAAAAGTGGAAGGAAACATTGCAACCTTGAATCTGTCCATCATGCTATCACACAAATGAGCCTTCTCGGAGCTATCGGTTAGCAAACTGCTCTCTCTCTGTAATTAAGCTCACTGACACGGAGACAAACATTGGTTTCAGTGTCATTTGTCAATCACTCCAAATTCCAAAATAAACTAAAAGTGTACCGTGGTATCTTCTCAGCTTATTTTGTTCCAGCAGCCCCTTAGCTTTTTTGACCAGTTCTTCTCTAGTTTTCTCCATATGCCTTCTATCTTTCTTCATTTGTTGCAATTGTTCTACCATCTTGCTTTCTAAAGATATTACAATTATATTTAGCAAGCATGTGGATACTGTAAATAGCAAGGATCAATCAAGATTTTTGTAAGGCACCCACCATAAATCATGCCAAAAGCTCTGTCAGAACAGGCAGTAGAAATTCTTTCATTTAATAAACTACCTCTAACTTTTTGAAATGGCTGGTATATTAGAAAAAAGTGAGAAATCCAGCATGCATCTAGGCATTCATACACGCACACAAACAAGTAAGCACCCTTTTATATGCCTAGACAATGTATGACTAAAGCTAGTATATTCAAGATCTAGATGCACTGCAAACAAGCCTCCAAAAGACTATTTCCTGCTTAAAAGACTTTGTGATATAAACTGTAGCAAAATCTTGCCTTAAACTCCAGCTTGTCATAGGCAGGATAGTATCTCAGATTTTCATTAGCCTGCAACAATAGGTTAATCACTTATCTTCTTCCTATCCTCCTCCTTCTCCACCACAGCAGAGAATCCTCAGCAATACTACTAGTGGTTTTCTTTGCTACGTTCTCACTTGAGCCAGAAGTACTTCATCTGATCTCCCTTCTTTTCTCCTTCCATACCCAAGTCCACAAACTGGGCTTCTAGCTAGCACTGGGAACCTGCTATGCTCTATGAACAGCCCATGCAATTATAAATGCCTGGAATTTTCCAACCACAAATTAAAATTTGTAATAATACAGTGAATAAATGTATTTACAAATTCTTCCATAAAATAGGTATTTCTGTCTTCGCTGACTACTGATTAAATGTTCACTTCCCTTCAATTTCCTGGAATCATATACTCACTTGCTCCCTGAATTGCAGGAACTTGAGCTGGATTTACAGAAAGTGCCAGAAAAGGTGGACTAGGAGGTGAAATATATTCTTTTTGACAAGTATGATTTTTCTTGCTTTTATCTGCCTATAGAGTCAGAAGACAGAACTATAAGTACATAACTCATAATCCTGAATCGTTACATTAGACATATGCCCTGAATGTGGCCTGAGTGAATGGAAGGGCTAAATTTGAATTCTGCATATAAGCTTTTTTATTGTGTTACCAGTACTAAATGACAACTAAATTACAAACAGATGGACCTCTGCAAATAAAATCAGGACACTGAACACTTACATCACAGAGAACATATGGACAAAAATGTAGACTATTGCTAATTGTTCTTGTCCATACCCATAACCCCACAAGTTACTGGCACTCCCATGCAAGACCAGGAATAACAGGCCTTAAAACTGGCTCATTGCTTACGAAGTTTGGACTGCCAGTTTCTAAAATAAAAGTTATAGTAGCAGATTTTCAATTTCATTATTATTTTCATAAGACTACACTACAATCACTTCTGCGCCAGAGCTCACAGGTGACAGTTAATAGTGACAGCTATTACGCTGTATCATTGCATGTGGGTGCTGAGTTTTCCTAAATGTGGTCTTGCTCTGATCCTATGACTATATCATTCGTATGTTTTAAAGGATTTTATAGTTTTTAATCAGAAGTTTCGCTCGGCTTGAGAGAAGACAAATATATCCCATAGGAAATATGAAATTGTCATCAATAAAACCAATAAAAAGTTACTGTCAAGAAACTGTAAAAAAAAAAGCGCTAACATTAATAAGACTGAGATAGTTATTGTATATCTAGTTCCTATTAAATTATAACCAGAGGTATAATTTCTGATGATTTCATTGTTTAGAACTAGAGTTGATTTTTCATTAGTAAATCTGCTGAGTAGCAGTGCATGAATTGACTTTTCTCAATTACTTTCAAACCCACATTTGAGCATTTCGTATTTCTAATGAGTTACCTGTCTTATAAAATTAGACTATTTCTAGGTGGAGGACTACGTTTATTGCTTCAGATTACTAACAATATGTTACCTTGAAAAACACACCTGATTATCCATTTTTTCACCAGGAACAGCTACAGACTTGCTAGTTCTGTATTGCTGCAAGCTAAAGATAAAATCAAAACAGCAAGTGAAAATTCATGTAATGAAACGAGGTTTTTCCCCATTTTCTTTCATTTATTTTAAGTCTGTAAAATCAGTTTCTAGCTATGAATTAATATTATCCATTATTTTAGCAAAATCATTATATACTAACCTTTGGGTTTTGTGTACATATTCTGTGGTTTGGTCTTCCATTATTTTAAGAATTTCAGCATCCCGTGTTCTGTCTCTCCTTAGTTCGGTATCTTTTTGGTGGTCATTATTTTCCATGTTTGTTAGTTCTGTGACAGGATAGTGATGATCAAAATATATAAATTACATTCACAAAATTCAAGCTGTTTTGACTGTCAATGCCTGGACTTTCCACCCTGTATTAGAAATTCAGTGAATCAATCCAATAATGTTATCTCTGGTGTTTGGAAATGTGTGAATAACAGAGGAAAGAAATAAAGAAAAAGAGAATTTTGTTTTGAGAATTTCTATCTAACTAATTCTTGGTAACTAGTACAAGAAACACTATCACAGATAAGGAAGCCACATAATTATTTCACCTTCCCTAAACTAATTCTGTATCTAACAATTTCTGCCTTTCAGAGCCAAATGTTTTGCATTTATATGTTAATGAATAAATGTTATCTGCTTTAAAATATATACAATAAATACTTCAAAAGAAAATTACTGACAGACTTCACCTTTAGTACCACAAAATACTACTTCCTTCACCATTCTAAATAAAGTTCCGGAAAACTTTCAGTTCTTTAGAGATATATATTTGTATATTGAACAGTCTCATACTTCATATCAGGTAACATGATGATAGAGAGACAAAGCTATTTTTGACAGATGATGACTGGAAACTGAAATTACTGAAAAGTCATCCACAAAAGCCTTTTCTAATACACTCTCCAGACATGTCTCATATTCAAATTTTTGTTTTTCTTACTCAAAGTGTGGGATATCCAGAAAATAATTCTAACTGAGATCTGTAAGGTGCCCATACCTATGAAAATTTGAATATTGCCTCATTTAATAATTACTCATTAAAAATTTGTGATAGAATAAACATCATCTTTTTTACATTAACTGTAAAATTCTACTCAAATATTAAGACTTATCTTTCAAAAGTATTTCCTCAAAAGCAATTTATGTTATAATTTTGATGCTAATATAGCATTAGTCATACAAATCCAATTGAAATGTGTCAGTCATTTCTTTCTTGGTAATCACTAAAAATTAGGAATATTAAGAACATTATATAACCTTTCAGGGACTTAATGGCCCTCAGTATCCATAACACATGCCATTTTAAAGGAAGAAGTAGTTAATCGATCTCTTCCAAACAACATTTTCTATTTTGGCACAGAAATGTTATCTAGTTAATGTGTGCTTTAAACCCCTCCATACTTTTGCACTATTTTCATTGTAGTCTGCTCAAGTTCTCTCACTTCTCAGTTTTAGGAATGTCACTATTCAATAGCATAGAAATAAACATTATAAGGAGGGAGGGGTAGAAACGCTTCCTCTTCAGTAGTAATGTAGCCATGTATAAGAGGACAATGAAAATTGAAGGGAATAAATACTTTCCTTGATATTCTGATAACAGGACTTTTTTTCATTTAAAACTGCTGTTGAATTATGGAATCATTATCCTCCAATCTTTACAGTAGCTGCTCAGTAAATTTTTTTCAGATAATGTTTCCCTATATCAGAACACAGTGATAAAGGACTCCTTCAAATTAAAAATTATTATTTAAAAAAATAGAATACTGTTCTGATAGCAATATTCCAACTCATGCTTTAACTATAGTTTTCTTAAAACTTAGCTTTACTCTGCCAACTTTCTAAAAAGCATGCTTTAGCACAAAGATGACAATGAACAGTTGTACCTTTTTGATATTTAATGTGATTTGGGGGTGTTTGGTTATTCTGGCCTTGTTCATTACTGTGGTCTACAGGCAGAGTAAAAGCAGTTTCTTTGGCTCTGTCATTCCACTTAGGAGTGCTATGCTCTTTTTGATCCTGGCTGAGATGATTTTGCTCAGGGGTCTGTAATACCGTATCACGCTTTCCAGACTCCCAATCTGCAGGATTTGAATGACTTGATCTGAAGAGAGATCCATTGGATCCATTTTCATCTGCATAACAATTATTAGAAAACAGAAATATTATTTTATTGTAAATGTTAACAATAATATTTATTCTTCTCCTCCTTCATCATCATCCTTCACTACATTGGTTAAACTCACCTTTTTCTCTAAACTGTATCTGTTTTTCCTGAATCCTGTTGCTATAGTCTTGCTTATGTTTTGCAGGCAAAACTGGAACAGGTTCTTTCTCACCCCATTCCATGGGACTGTGCACTTCCTGATTTTCTAGCTTATCACTGCTTTGTATGCTTTCTAAAAATTGGTTGCTCTTTTCAGGATTTTTTGGGGGAAGACTGGATAATCTTGATCCATGATCAAACCTATTAGCTTCTGCATTAAAGTGATGTCTTTGTTGAGTTGATGATGATAATGGATAAACATCTTCAAAGTATTCCACTCCAGGTAACAAATATAATTCAGGATAAAGTGCCTAAAATATGCAGTATATTCATCAGACAGGACAAAAGAAGAAATGTGCAATGTGAAACGCTTCTGAAAATGATACCTTAAAAGCCATTCAATACATACATAAGGAGGAGCAAATGACTCCAGTTCCAGTTCTGCTTCTTGCTTTGCCTTCACCTTGGGAGATAAAGAATGGAAGCATAACCAATAAAATACTTTTTTATCAATAATGTTGCATATAATTTAATTTCTATATTCTGTTATCATCTTTACATACTACATTTTTTCTTAACCAGCACTATCTTCTGTAATGGCCTGATGCGGAAGAAGGATCACACACTACTATTCTGTTTTCTGACATGGCACTGAAACTTTGTCTATTTTTCAAAATCCCAACCAGACCCACAGGAGTACATGGACGTACCGCATAATTTGTTATATCCTTTGCACTCTCTCTTATGGTTCAAAGGACCTGATTCAACAGTCATAGCAGAAGACAGCCTTAGACTGTCTTCACCAAGTTGCTTCAAGCTGAATCTGGATGGACATGCTGAGTGTCACACAATTTTCGCTATTCAACTGATACAATATTGCAAAATATTTAATGTACATAGGAAAAAAAAATATTTACTACTCTCCTATGTCTTCTTGTATTTATTGTTTCTCTTGATATTCTTTGTGTGACATACACTCTCAGATTTCAACAGTCATCCTAAAAACAAAGTCTAAAATAACCAATGTACGTTTGAAAGATGTACTCCAACAGAACAAATATATATATATATATCTGAGCTTACATTTAAATAATGAAATTGAACTAAACATGGGGCCAAATTCTGTTCTGAATAATGGCCAGGCAATGCCATTGATTCACTGTTAGAGACACAGGCTATATGCAAGAAAAGTAAGAGCAAATGAACACAATTTTGGTCTACGTTTATTTTTCACTTAAAGACCCTTACTTGTAAGTAGGGTACAGCTCTTAGTACTGCTTACACTGTTACTGTTGCGAAACAGAAGACTGGGGCGTGGGGGAAAACACTCAACAAATATTTGATCATTGAGATGTAATTCACTGAGGTTACCATGACCCTAAACAACAAATAAACCAGTTAGTTGGTTTATTGCTTTACACTTCGTTATGAAGTTAAACATAAAGCAACAGTAAATAGCCCAAATTAAAATTATATCTGTCACTAAAAATCTTCACTTGTATCTACCAATATCTTTAATTCTCTATTAAAGAAAAATATTTTATTAAATGCCTGACATTCTGAAGGAGGTTGGAAAATTTCTTCATTTATCTCAGAACTAGGAGTGGGGAAGAAAATACACCATCTTACTTCTTATGATCCAGTTAAAAACAGCTCAGTTCTTTGAAGACATGTGTATGTTTTCAGATTCATATTGTGTCAGAGTCTTTAAGCTTCTCTTCAAATTTTTCCACCTAGTTTTTGCACATTACTTAGTATTTATTCTACTCTCTTGTGTGGGTAATTTTAGTGATAACTCAACTACAAATGAAATAAAGAATAAAGAATAAATGCATAAAGAACAAATTTCCAGCTTGTAATTACTTTCCAAATCCGTGAGAAAGAGGTGAAATGAGAAGTGAAAAAAAGTATTCTATACTTAGGTATATCACTTAAGCCTTTGTGTATTACACTAACAAACTTTCAGTTGGACTAATTTTCAGGTTTACTTAATCTTTAGCCATAGTTTGTAAAATATACATATATAGAGAATGAACGTGAGGAACAGTTACAATTCAGAGATGCAGGTTTTTGATTACACAAATCTCAGGCTGTATTACTGGACTAACTAGTGGAACACAAATGTACATCGAGAGAAGTTTTCCTTCAGATACTGACCTTTAAAGGCTTCTGGGCAGGTCACAGGAAAAACCATTAGAGGAACTCTGCCTTACTCAGCTTCCATTGCAAATTCCTTAAGTGCCATATTCCCAACCACGTACTGGTAACAATGACCTCAGGGGGATTTTTTTTTTTAATGCAACAGGATTTGCAGATTTGTCATATTTAATCCATTGACTTATCAAAACTAGCATCTTTTCACTGGATGGCGACTAATTACATCTGATGCTTTAAAGGATGTTTCTAAAACACCTGTCCAGCTGTGCCTTTGTATTTGGGGAAGTAGATGTGCTCTGACAAGAGCTTATGCTGCAGCATGTTTAAAAACAAAGGCTAACAGTGCACCTAAAGTTATCTCTGTTTTCTTGCGATATTATCTAATCTGCAGGAACGAAATCTGTGGTTTACATCACAAAGCAGAAGAGCACTAAAGAAAAAAAAATATTAACTTACCACTGCTAGTTTTTTCCCAATGCATTTTAAAAATTTGAATTTATCTGCAACTGCAGCTCCACCCAGGTATTCTCCAAGCTTCTCACGTAGCACTCTTAATGTGATGTGAGGAGACACCCTAGAATGTTGTTATTCATTAATACATCTGTAAGATCAAATAATGATGGCTAGTTCATAGAATCATAGAATGGTTTGGGTTGTAAGGGACCTTAAATATCATCTAGTTCCAAGCCCCCTGCCATGGGCAGGGACACCTCCCACTAGACCAGATTGCTCAAAGTCCCATTCCACCTGTCCTTGAACACTTCCAGGATGGGGCATCTACTTCTCTGGGCAATCCGCTCCAGTGTCTCACCACCCTCATAGTGAAAAATTTCTTCCTAATATCTAGTCTAAATCTACCCTCTTTCAATTTAAAACTGTTAGCCCCTGTCCTATCACTACATGCCCTTGTAAAAAGTCCCTCTCCAGCTTTCTTGTAGGCCCCCTTTAGGCACTGGAAGGCCACTATAAGGTCTCCCTGGAACCCTCCCTCCTCCAGGCTGAATAACCCCAATTCTCTCAGCCTGTCTTCATAGGAGAGATGCTTCAGCCCTCTGAACATCTTTGTGGCCCTCCTCTGGACCCACTCCAACAGGTCCATGTCTTCTGGGGGCCCCAGAGTTGGACGCAGTACTCAGGTGGGGTCTCACAAGAGTGCAGTAAAGAGGGAAAATCACCTCCCTCGACCTGCTGGCCATGCTGCTTTTGATGCAGCCCAGGATGCAGTTGGCTTTCTGGGCTGTGAGCGCACATTGCCGGCTCATGTTGAGCTTCTCAGCAATCAACACCCTCAAGTCCTTCTCCTCAGGGCTGCTCTCAATCCATTCTCCACCCAGCTTGTATTTGTGCTTGGAATTGCCCCAACCCACGTGCAGGACCCTGCACTTGGCCTTGCCAAACTTGATGATGTTTGCACAGGCCCACCTCTCCAGCCTGTCTAGGTCCCTCTGAATGGCATCCCTTCCCTCCAGCGTATTTAGTGCTCCACACAGCTTGGTGTCGTTGCCAAACTTGATGAGGGTGCACTCAATCCCGCTGTCCGTGTTGCCAACAAAGATGTTAAACTGTGCTGGTCCAAATACCAACCCCTGAGGAACACCACTTGTCACTGGTCTCCACTTAGACATTGAGCCGTTGACCACAACTCTTTGAGTGCAACCGTCCAGACAATTCCTCATTCGCCAAGTGGTCCATCCACCAATCCATGTCTCTCCAATTTAGATACAAGGATGTCACCCGGGACAGGGTCAAATGCTTTGCATAAGTCCAGGTAGATAACATCAGTTGCCCTTCCCTTATCCACTAACGCTGTAACCCCATCGTAGAAGGCCACCAAATTTGTTAGACATGATTTGCCTTTAGTGAAGCCATGTTGGCTGTCACCAATCACCTCCTTATTTTCCATATGCCTTAGCAAAGTTTCCAGGAGTATCTTCTCCATGATCTTGCCAGGCACAGAGGTGAGACTGACTGGCTTGTAGTTCCCCGGGTCTTCCTTTTTTTGCTTTCTAAAAAAAAAGGTTTCCCCTTTTCCAGTCAGTGGGAACTTCACCAAACTGCAGCGACTTCTCAAATATGATGGATAGTGGCTTAGCAACTTCATCTGCCACTTCCCTCAGGACCCACGGATGCATCTCATCTGGTCCCATGGACTTGTGCATCTTCAGGTTCCTTAGATGGTCTCGAACCTGGTGTTCTCCTACAGTGGGCAGTTCTCCATTCTCCCTGTCCCTATCTTTGCCTTTTGTGACTTGGGCAATGAGGCTAGAACACTCACCAGTGAAGACCTGAGGCAAAAAAGTCATTAAGTACCTCAGCCCTCTCCATATCCCGAGTAACCAGGTCTCCTGTTTCCTTCCGGAAAGGGCCCACATTTTCCCTAGTCTTCCTTTTACCACTAACGTACCTGTAGAAGCTTTTCTTGTTGCCCTTGATGTCCCTGGCCAGATTTAATTCTATCGGGGCTTTAGGTTTCCTTATCTGATGATCCCTGGCTGTTTGGACAATTTCTCTGTATTCTTCCCAGGCTACCTGTCCTTGCTTCCACCCTCTGTAGTCAGTAAGAGGGGGAAGACAATGCTATATACATGCTGGCTTGTGTGGACAGAATGATCAAAAATGGGAACTATGTCCTGGAACTGAACCTAATTACATATAGGCCAGAGAGTCTTGGTGTGGTAGAGTCAGAACACTGTATCACGTTATGGTAGACTGTATTACAAGGGCTGTCATAACATTAACTACCAATATTCATATTTTAGGAGCCCCACACAAAGGGAAAATACGGAAGTAGCTGAAATTTGAAAATGACTCCAGATGCTCTTGCTCATCTGCAGATGAACAACAAAAACATTGGAGACTACAATCATGCATTTCCATATAGGTGACAAAGTTTCATGGGGCCGGTCCAGGACTGTAGAACATACCCCTTCAAGCACTAAGAGCTAGAGGAGACGTCATCACTGTCCACTTTAAGTAGCAGGCACATTCCTTTGATTTTGTCTTCTCCAACACAAATTTACAGTTGGGTGTGTGCATGTGTACATGCAAACGCATTTTAAATCAAAACCAAACACTGCAGTGTGAAGATTTCCACCATAGTTTGAGGATGAGAGAGCTGACACAAATATGAATTGAATCATTTAATGTAATACTGGAAACCATGCAAATATTAAAGTAATGAGCTCAGTATAAAAATCACCATAGAATAAAAAGCATCTCCACAAAATAAAACCAAATGTGCAAGAGGCACACAAAAGCTCTGCAGCACAACATAAGCAATTCTAATTGCTCTTATGCTGTCATATAAAATAAACCAGGGAACAAATTCAGGCCTAAGACTGTTAATCACCCATGCTGATTAAGTGTTAGTAAACTACCTAGTATGATTTTGGCCCAGGCAGCTATCACTCTTCAAGCAATGCACAGACATAGCTTGGGGGATAGCACATGCCATTCTCAGTAAACAGTATAGACAAGAACATACCATCCCTTCAACTTGGACAGGTCTTCAACACTGACCTCTCAGGGTTTGTCTGCACCTTCAAACAGCCTTACATGCCTTCATTTCACACCCTAGATATGTAAAAACACGCTCAGTTTCATCTCATCAACACGTACTTCAGTGGGCTACAATGCTTCCCTTCATTATTTCAAACACCCTGGACTTAGAGGATCCTCCTCAAGATCATAAATCTGCCTTGGAGCACAGGCATGCAGCAGAGAAGACCCAGGTCTGCAGAGTAGACACATCTAGGCCACACTGCTTGGTCCCTGTACGTTTAGCTTCTCTTTATTTCTTCGCCAGCCATTTTTTGCCCACCCTTCTGCAGTTATTAACCCTCATGTCATTTATTTCAAATGTATAAAGAAGTATGTGAAAGATGGATACATAATTCAATACACATCCTTCCAAGGCCTTATGTGAGAACAGAGATGATCTATCATTCAAATATCTTTCGTTCCCAAAATTTCTTCAAGCTGATGTCTCAGACAAGATGTGCCCCTTGGATGGTCTTCTGAAACCCAAATGAAAGCTCTTTCAGGGGCAGTTCTAACACTGCACATCTTTCAGTGATAATGCCTGTCCAAACCAGCAAGGAAATCTAAATCTAAGGCATTTATGAACAGCAGGGAAAACATCTAAGTAACTATGATGTATCATGGGAGAAAATTATCTAGGTATACAGAACCTGAGATACAGCTGCTAGGAACATATAATAATATATTTCTCACTTGCTGCCACTGGCTAGCAGAAGGCTAGTCACATCCGAGTAATTTGCTTCAGGGTGTTCCTTTAAAAGTAATGCAAACTAGAGTTCATTGAAGCAATCTCATCTGGAATAACAAAAGTATGGCTTCTGTGGTGAGGAATGAGGAATAAATAAAAGATCACAGAGGCTGAGAAATAAAGTTCATGGGAACAAGAACTCAGGGCCATAGACAATTACACACTTTATTTTCCTCTAATTTCATGATTAATGGAAATAGCCTATACTTAGACCTAGGAATCCTTTGTTAAGCTGACTCAGCACTAGGATTGTTGAACTGACTGGACAGTGCTATCAACAATGTTCAAACAGCATTAGTACCAGCAAGGCTGCTGTTCCCTCTCCTGGATTATAAGAAGAGAAGTTTTTTTAATTTTTTCTGTTTTTATAAAGACAGTGATACACTGGCCAGGTGCTAGTCATTGTTAATGCTAATGTACTGCAGCACTGCATAGTACCCATAGGATAATTAATTATCAATTATTTAAGATTCATTAGCAAGCAACAAATACCCAGACAGATATAAATGCACTGAATTCAACGAGAATCCTAATTTAAGTTGATGGCTCAGAACTGAGCCTTAGTGAAATAAATTTACACTAGAGAACAGAGGGCAGTGACAGATGTCCAATCACATGAAATGATTTGAAGTTACCACTCCAGCTGTGTATTTTGCACCTCTGCTGTAGACTAGTACAGCAACCAAAATGGATACATGCACGTATTTCCTCTGGTTTTGAGCAGCCTTTCAACAAAAGAAGCTGTGAGAATGAATACATTCTGCCCCACATGCTCTTACCTGACTGCTGTCAATCTTTCCAGCTACACAGTATATTGTCTTAAGTGGACAATATGAGCCTACATTTAAATTAGTTAAAACCAATATTCCCTGCATTTTAAGCTCAATTGACAGGTTTTGCACAGAAGCAGACAAGGTGCATGTGAAAGCTCCATTTCAACACTTATCTTTACATTATTTGATTTTTCTAAACTTCTTACCACACTGGATACACACAGATTTTGTGAATAAAGTGTTTAGGAGTATAAAACAAACTTTTGAAGTTATGAAAGATTAAAACTGCAACTCTCTGTCAGGTTTGGGCCTAGGACTGGAACCTGGGGTATTCTTTCATTAAGTCCTCTAAACAGCCATCTGAGAGCACACATAGCACACAGTGTTGTGGGTAACCTCTCAGAAATACTACTGAAGAAGAAAGAAGGTATGCCAGTGGTTGCATGGGCTGTAAGGCTTCCCCTTGGGAAACACGGCTTAAGTTCTTTCTTCAGACTGAGAGTTCAGACCATCATATCCCTGTTCCTGGGAAGTGACAGGCTTTCCCATCTTCATCAAGCCACTCTGTCTTGAAGCTGGTGCGTTGCCAAAAAGAATTCAAGATTTTGATACTCAGGCTTAAGAAGACAGAAAGAATATAAAACCGTGATTTTACAACATAAATTTTTCTTCAGAAATACTTGCACTGCTCTGGAAGTGCGTTTCAACAGTCTACATGAAGGGCTGCAATGGAGCTAAGCCTGAGACAGTCCAAATGAACATAACACTAGTCATGGGCACCCCTTGCCCTCTAGAACTTTTTGGAGTACAAGTCTCTTCTGACAGATGTATTCATGCTCTGTAGAGAATAACATAAAGGAGCTACCATGTACACGAAAGATTATGCTCACCTTATAAATCCAGCCGAGATAAACTTGCTAGTAAGAGCGACAGGAATTGTATTCAGCTTGAAGTTCCACACTTCTTCTGGGACATAAAAAACATGGAGCTCCACCAACTAAATAAAGTAAGAACAGATGATCGTAACTGTAGATATATTATAATACTTGTCCTATACGCTTTGTTTTGCTTAGCTGGACTGTCAATTTCTGGAGGCAGGAATGGCTTCTTTGTTGATAGAGTCTCACTCTTCTAGCCCGTGTACTATCTGACAACGATGACTAGATAGTGAGAAGAGCGATGAGTAGAGCAATTTGTGACTGAATGCTAGCTGACAGCATCAAAATAAGTCACATTAGAACAAGCTCAACAATGGAAATGAGAGCCTATGCTTCTGCTCTATGTCACTGTGACAGCAACGGAAATAGCTTACCAAAACCAGTTGATCCTCTGGAGTGTGCCATGGGTACAAGAGAACTTCAGCTAAAATCCTACCTTTGTTCATTTCATAAAAAGTGCAAAGTCCTAAAAGCTTGATTCAAACATAATACAAAGCACCATAACTTGACCTTGCCAGCATGAAAAAAAAAATCAAAATATTTCAGACAGTTGTTAATAATATTAGCCACCTTGGAAGCACAGAAGTACTCTTGGTAATGTCTGCAACAAGGATAACTAAGCCTTCTCTGAGCAAGGTTAACTGAGGTGATTGTGTTCAAACCTATGGTAGTTGTAGGACTGTTAATGTCTGGGTCTTGATACTTTTAGCAAAAAATCAAAGTAGTGACAAGGATGATACAGTTCTGAAAAGCCTTCCCTATAACTAGAAGCCATGCAAGTAAGTGATATAAAATATTTCTGCAATTGCTGAGTTACTAAATATAAACTAGAAAAGAATGCTTTCTATATATACTATGTTAAAAGTATATTTTTGTCCTCTCAGACCTCCTAGAAGTGGTGCAGTGTCCATATTTTTTTAGTTTTATTTAGGAAATCTAAAAAATCTCTAGGGAAAAGTACAAAAACTCTCACCTGTGATGTTCGAGGTCTCATTTGATTGAACGACATGTTCATCTCTGTACTTGATCACAGTGAATGCCAGGTGGGTTTTTTAATTTTCTTTTTGATTGAAACATTCTTTAAGAATGAGTTTCATGACAACCTGTTATGAAACAAGTTACCCCATTAATTTCCTTTATTTTCATTTACTGTTCTTCTTTCCATTTATAAAAAGTTGCTTCTGTGCTGAGGCAGAAAGCTTCCAGCTAACTGCAGACAAACAGACTCTACCACACCTTCTACACAACTATCACCTAAGTAACTGGGAGAATTGCTACACCACAGCCCTGCAGCTCTAAGACCTGCCCTGGAGTATTTCCCCATAACATTTTCTCTCCTTCCATAAAAATACTTGTGTTGTATATAAATTTCTACATGACTGCACTGTGTTCCTGAAGACACAGACCACATCCCCACAAAATGGGATTCTTGCAGGGTCTAGGTTTATCTCTGATAAAGTGACAATTACTGTGAACTGAAGCCAAGCCACACACATGGCACATTGTGCTGGCCAAATGCAGTATCTCAAGGAAACTTGACTGTGCCGTGTCATGAAAATCCTTCCAGGAACTACTCTGGTTGCACCCTAACATTGTTAGGATTTTTCTCAATACTCTCACCTGAAGGCTCTTCCAGAATCTCCTTCTGATTTTTGGCCTGCTGAATGCCCTGACTGTTCTGATCACCGTAGTGGCTCTCCCTTGCACCTCTGATACTTCTAATTCACCTTTTCTTGACTGCAAGGGACCAGACCTTCCAGATGACCTTCCAGGTCTCACCCTAGCTCTGTGTGGTGGAATTAAGATCTCCTCGTGTCAGTGGGAAGCACCCACTTAAAAGGGCTCATGTCTTTACTTGCCTGTTCACAATTACACTGCAACGAGCTGTCATGAATGACCGGACCAGAACACACAGTCACTTCTCCACAGTTATTCCCAACCAAAGGCATGGCAGGGTACAGCACAAGTTCTTCTCATTAGTCCCTATATATGCAAGATGTTGCACTTTGCATTACGACATCTCACCCCATGCCATTAGTCCAGGTTTCACGGTCGTTCCTGGACACTTTCTGCAGTAAATACCCATCTCCTCTAGACTGTAGTCAAGACCCAAACATGCTGGCAAAGAGCACAGTTTGCAACTTCATAGAATCATAGAATGGTTTGGGTTGTAAGTGACCTTAAAGATCATCTAGTTCCAAGCCTCCTGCCATGGGCAGGGACACCTCCCATTACACCAGGTTGCTCAAAGCCCCATCCAGCCCGGCCTTGAACACTTCCAGGGATGGGGCACCCACAACTTCCCTGGGCAACTTGTTCCAGTGCCTCACTACCCTTAGAGTGAAAAATTTCTTCCTAATATCTAGTCTAAATCTACCCTCTTCCAGTTTGAAGCTATTACCCCTCAACCTATCACTACCTGCCCTTGCAAAAAGGCCCTCTCCAGCTTTCCTGTAGGCCCCCTTTAGGCACTGGAAATCTCCTATAAGGTCTCTCTGGAGCTTTCTCCTCTCCAGGCTGAACAACCCAAACTGTCTCAGCCCGTCCTCATATAAGAGGTGCTCCAGCCCTCTGGTCATCTTCATGGCCCTCCTCTGGACCTGCTCCAACAGGTCCACATCCTTCTCATGTTGGGGCCTCCAGTGCAGGATGTATTCATTACATCTCAAAACAAGCACCAAACTAGTAACTAACTCGGTATCAGCACCAAGATTTGCCACCTTGGTCTTAATATTGTCTTCTCATTTAATCCACTTTATAGATAAATAAGGGCAAAACTAACTTTTTCCTGTGTTTCCAGCCGATCCCCCCTTTCCCGGGCGGGAATACAGCGCTCGTAGGCGAACAGCCACGAACCACCACCACCAGTCACACACCG